TTTTTTGTTCTGTCACTGTCATTCTGTTACACTGTGGAAGCTTGTCACGAAAACAAATTCCTCGTATGTGTAAACATACCTGGCAATAAAGCTCATTCTGATTCTGATAGAGATATATATATATATATATATATATATATATAGCATAAATTTAGAGTACATTTGTAATTGCACCTCTTCTATAACAATAAAAAGCTTGACACATGCAATTTGTGGTCATGTGAAGCTGTTTATTAGTTATTAATAATTTTACATATCGCTGAGATACTCGTGTAGTTTTTATTAATATTTTGAATTATTTATTTATTTTAATTTTGATTTTAGTTAAGGTTTTTGGGATGTTTTTGACATTTTTATTAGTTTTTTTAAATGTCTAAATCGTTTTTATTAATTTTTATTTCAGTTTTAGATCAAATAACCTTATCTAAAATAAGTTTAAATTAATAAAATAAGTAAGTTTTTTTTATATTTTATGTCATGTCATTTCAGTTTATTTTAAGTTAAGTTTATTTTATTTCAAGGAGCGAAAATGTATTAAAAAAATGTAGTAATAAAAAAAAATGTATTATTATTTTTAGTTAACTATAATAACCCTGATGCAAACACAATGTAGCATACTTCTGTTTGAAATATTTACTGTACACAATGCCTACGGTTTCATTTAATATGCAAAAAAAAGTGGTCAACATACCACTATTTGTATATTTACTGAATAGAGTGTATACTACTAATAGCAGTAAGTTACTATTCTGTTCTGAACAATGAACAACACAGAAGAAACATGCGATTTTTAACATTTTCACCCATAGCCAATAATGTAAAAAATAATCATTATTTCTGTGTCATATGTCACACTATAAATTGAGCACATTGCATTGTGAGATACAGTACTCAGCACAGTGTCTATACTGCACATTTGAGGAATGTAAACAGAAAATTTGCATGCTGCACACAGGATGCAACCTGCAGTTGCACATTACTGCTCTTTGTGTGCATGGAAATACAGTGAACTCTCTGAGCTGAAGGGCTGTGCCACACCAGCGCTTCTTCCTGGGTTCCTGCACTGCAGTCGTCTTTACCCAGAATGCTCTTTTAGTAAGCTGAACAAGTGCCCATCCCCCACGTTAAGAGAGAACGGTAGCCAACAGCAACACATGCACATGCAGCAAGACATACTTCAGCACACGTGTGCTAACGGGCATTCATCATTTGACCTTCCATTTTGAGATTTTGGTAGAAAGGCTCAATTCAGTCAAAAAGGCTTAAAACACGAAGCCATTCACAAATGTTCACACTGACACACACACACACGTCCGCATGCGCACACTTCCCACGCCGGCGGTGACTCAGCCTGGCGAGAGGATGCTGCTCTGACCTGCTTTTAGCTTCTCCAGAGGCTGATGATGTTTGTGCCGCCCCCGTCTCAGGGCTCGCAGGAAGAGGGGATGACAACTGCTCCTCTTCCTCCCCCTCTGCTGAAACTGCCACGGCAGAGGCGCCCGCCGTCTCCTCCTGCTCCCCTTTAGTGACTGACGAGAGACACAGAAGGAGACATACATCCTTGTTAATTACAGCTGCACCAACAGACATTTTAGACAAAACTGATGAGATTAAACCTTAAATTCATTAGTGTTTCACCACAACTGTATTCACCTACTTAATACAGATTAATTTATACACTACAGTGATAGTGTAAAATGAGTGTAATTTAAAAATATTTTTGAATTTTTTGAGTGTGGCCCATTATATCTACATTGAGGAAAATAAAAAAAAATGCTGTTAAAAACAAACATGATTTATTTTGCACATCAGTGAGTTCTCAAACACAAACAGCATCAAAGAACGTGGATCGTTAATTGCTTTCAGATACTCTGAGTTGGAGCAAGTTTAAAGTCTTTTATATCATTCAGCAGCCAGACGTTCTCAGACAGAAAACCATTTCAACATAAAAATAAAAGATCAATTTATTGATTAAAAAAGTACTAATCTAATAGACACATTTATGGTCACACTTAACATTAGATGTCTTTAACTATTTACTTGTGAAAAATATGTACTTTATAGGTACAGTGTACTTATTGCGTTCATGTTGAATTGCAAAACACTTTTGCTGCACTGTAAAAAATAAGTGTAATTTTAACTGTAAAATTTTGTAAAAACGCTACGGAAAAAAACTGTTAATAGGTTAACAGTAAGTTCCCTTACTATATACAGGTAAAAACTGTAAAATATCTAACCAGACATTTCATGTAATTTTACAGTAAAATGCTGTTAATTTTTTTTACAGTTTTTAGAAGTAAAAATAACAAATCAATGTATAATTTACAGTCAAAAACTGTAAACTGATATTCCCAGAATTCCCTGCATGACACTCCACATTTGAAAGTATTTTGTTTAAATAATCATGTTTTTTTAAATAATTTTTGTTATTAGTTATGTATATTTGGGCTTTATGTTACATCTTCTGTTGTTTAATGAAAGTTAATGCATTATTTAAGCATCATGTGTGTTACCATGATGGTGTTTTGTGTTTGCATGAATGACTCTGTGCACCTTCTATATATTAGTATATACTTCTGCTTGTGGCGAAGCTACTTGTGATGAGCTTTGATTCTTCATGTGGCTTTCTCTTTTACCACCTGCATTATTATGGTGGTTGTCAGTATGTTAAAGGTACAAAACAGATTTTAATAGCAGTGTGCATTGTTGAATTTACTGGTTTACATTAAAATGTTCTTGTTTGTAAATTACAGTTTTATACTGTGAAGTTTTTGGCCGTAAATGTGTTTACAGTTTTTCTGTATTTTTTACAAAATTATTCTGGCAACCACAGCTGCCAAAATTATTTTGTAAAAACTACAGAATTTTTTTTTACAGTGTGCTATGAAGGTGGCATACGGGTAAGGTTAGGGTCAGTTCACCCAAAAAATTTAAATTAAATTGTCATTTACTCACCCTTGTGTCATTCTAATGCTGTATGGCTCTCTTTCTTTTTCAGACCACAAATGGAGATTTTTTTTAAATGTCCCATGCGTGCCTGTCCACATAATGGCAGTGTATGGTGATCAGCATCAAGCTTTTAAATAAGATGCAAAAGTATCACAGAGTGGTCCCATGAGACACGTGCCGTATATTCCAAGTGTTCTGCAGGTGTACGATAGGGTTTGGTGAAAAACAATTATTATTTAATGAATATCCTGACATTGGCTGTTGGTCTCTGTGCACGACTGCACGTTCATGAGACATGAGAGTTCACTCCGACTCACCCAGGAAAAGCACACAAGTTGTGAAAAATCAAGATTAATAAAAACACAACATGAAATACAATCCATGTACTTTCTTCTGAGGAAAAAAATATCCGTTGTGCTTGTCGCAACAACAAGTTATCGGTCAACTGTCAGTTCTGCTCCTGAGATATTCAACTGAGAAATGAAACAAAAACTTTTTGGGGGATTTCTAGGCGTTGTTTTGTGTCGCTTTTTTATTCATCTTGATTTTTCACAACTTGTGTGCTTTTCCTTGGTGGGTCGGAGTGAACTGCTGCGCTAATAGAGTCTCATGAATGGGCAGTCGTGCACAGAGACCAACGGCCAAGTTTAAATAAAGTGTTAAATTTTGGTCTGTTTTTCACCAAACCAGCAGAACACTTGAAATATACGGCACATGTCGCATGGGACCACTCTGTGATACTTTTGCATCTTTTTTTTTTTTTTTTAAGTCCCCCTTTAGTCAAAAATTGTATCACTTAAAACTCATTTTGAACATCAAAATTACATATTTAAATGTTTTTTCTTGTTAAAAAAATTTTTTTAGGCCTTAAAATACCTTGAATGTAACCCTTCTGTCTACATGTCTACACCCTTGCCCCATTTACTATGCGCGGATCTATGAATATGCAAATTAGCACCGCCTCCACTCAGTCACACCAGCCAGGGCCTCCTGATCCACGGATAATGACTGATAAAACTATGTTTTTACTAGCGGACAACTACAGTGGATACTGCAACAGTCATTAAAATTACTTACTTGACGATGTTGTGTCCTCAAAATGCCTTGAAGACTCGAATGCAGCCAAGTTTGTGATTCTTAATTCGCGCCCGCGAGCATACACGAGTGACGTGCAGACGCCGATGCGGGAGAGGTGGGTCTGACTCCGGGCTACTTTTACACGGTTGCCGCGGGTTATCATTGAAGTTAGCGATTCTAAATTCATGTTAAACCGCGGCTTCATGGGTTTTTGCTTTATTTTATTTTTGGTTTTGTGCTGGTAATTGGTATATTTAGCATGCGGACTCTATGCTATGATCTCTATGCGCGCAGTGTTTGTATAAATGGATAGAAGGATATGCTAATGACAGGAATCTATCCCTTGACGTGATTGGTTATTGAATTTTGTGACGTAGCAAACCGAGGGCTGTTTCAAATCACGTTTCTGGGACTGCCATTGGGAAACTACAGTTTTAAGGAGAAAATACTCAGCAATGGTGTTGATTAATGGATTGGCACATGGGTTGTCTAAAAGCAAATTAAAAACACCACATAGACAATAAACAACAACAAAAACTTGATTTTCACTACAGGGGGACTTAGATTAGGGACTTAAGATTTATTTTTGGCAGAAAGAGGAGGCGGGATCGGGAAAGGTCCACGAGGCTGAGATTCGAACTTGGGACACTGAATCGCAACAGCGCTATATGTTAACACACTGCCCACGAGGCTATCGGTGCCACTTTTTCGTCGTTTTTAAATGCTTGATGCTGATTGCCATACACTGCCATTATATGAACATGTACGCATGTAACTTATTTTTTTTTAAAGTCTCCTTTTGTGGTTTGAAAAAAAGAAAGGCATACGGCAAGAGAACAACACAAGGGTGAGTAAATTATTTAATTTTCATTTTTGGGTGAACTATCCCTTTAGGGGTTGGTTAAGGGTCAGGGTGAAAGACACAAGACACATAAAGTGGGTCTATTTTTTTAATTCTTGTTGAAAAACGTAGTGAAATGTAACAAACCAATAAACCATTTTAATGCAACATTTAAACTGCATAACAATTGCATTAAAAAGCACATTGTGACATTTAACTAACATTTCAAATATTATTCAGTTTTAAAGATGTCTATTCATGTCCATTTTCTATGTGGTTTATTACTGCATAATTTTATGGTTCCATTTAACAACATCATTAAACATTATTTAAACAGTTTAAATATATCTATTTGTCCATATGAAATTTGAGTATGTATTCATTTGATTAATAAATGAATTTCCCCATTTTATTTTTAAGTGGCCCTCTTATTCTTCCATAAGTAACAGGCATACAAGTAGAGCTGCTGTCTACATGAATAAGGAAAGGCAGAAATCTTCAAAATTGTAGCTTCTTTAGCTCAAATTACACCCAAAAAAACCCTGTATTTTTCAGGCTGGTCCAACTAATGCGTATTTTCATTGTGGAGTAAACAAACAGATGATGCATTTATCAAAAAGATGACTTGTTCTTTGAACCAAAAGGTGAGATTTGCATGTCAGTGTAAGTGTTGAAACCCCTCAAAATGAAAGTCACAGCCTCGGCTAATGAGACAGACAAGCCTGAATGTCGTCTGACTGCGTACCTTTGCCTCAAATGAATTTTCATCCATGAAATGTTTGTTTATTCTGAACAGTGCTAATTGTTTCCAGTGAACCAGACTTTCAGGCCAGTATGTTTTGTTTTTAAAGATCCCAAATGATGACATGTGAACAACAGCTGGATTTGTACAATGTCAACAGCAGCCTGCAAAACAAAAATGAAGAAAGAGCCAGGATCTTTGGTTTCCCTGTTCGATCGCAAACATGTATCCCATTTGATTTAGGTGGAAATATACAGAGCACATGTGCCGTGTGTTAATAAGAGAGAAATTGGGAAAACCGTTGCTTCAGAACGTACACAATGTGGGCAATTAGAGGTGTGTGTCATCTGTGACTAAGAACGCCTAGTGAGTCGAGATCTAGTTGTGGTCTAAAATAGACCGCATTGAAACCACAGCTGTAGTCAACCACCTCCTGTATTCACCTCATCCGCTGCAGTCTACTCGGAAAGAGCTTCAATGGAACTACAACAGACACTACAAATTAGGGTCAGTCTGCAAAGAAAACTAGTTACTGGTGCTTGTCGATGAAAGCATCAGCATTAGCATTGCTTATGAGAGGGATTTGAGCCAAAGCAGACGCTTTGTATTAAACTTCAACAAGTAGGCCTAATCCCATAACGTTTGTACCAAAGACGTAAATTGATTTCTCAAATTGTGCAGGTTGTTGGAGAGATGTGCCATTACTTTTCTAAGCAATCAATTATTTCCACTTCGTGGATGATAAAACGGGTGAAAAATCCCCATAGACCCCATAGCGGAAAGAGACTGTAAAATATCATAGAGACATGAAGGTGGACTCTTCAACACCCTATAAACTGAATAGCGACACACTAAACACAGTAAGAATACCTTAACGTGACCTTAACCGCAAAATGTTAAAACACCCTAGAAACAGTACG